CATAATATGTTCTGCCTTAATTTTTTCTCCTCTGTTTGCTGTTCAGTTCCTTGCAGTCCAGTTGTGTTCCATTTGAAATCAGTGGCATTTAAGAGTGGAGACTGGAAACATGACTTCTGGACTGAGTCGTAATTCTTGACTAAAGAGGTCAAGAAGGCAGCAGTTGTCACTTCTTCAAAGACGTATGATAGCTGTGAATACCTCTTGTATCATGCAGAAAGAACAGCAGAGGCTCTGCTCTTACTGATATATTTTTTTGACAAGATAAAACCTGCTCCTTGACATCTATCATAACGGCTTCGGTCAGTTCATTGTCAGTTCCTGAAAGAAAAAAAAGAAAGGCCATATGCAGTTATAGAGAAACAAACCTTTGACTTATGCACTTTATTTGTGAAATACGTCTGCTTTGTGTATTTGAATATAGAAATTGTATGAGTTGTGTGCTTTTTAAGACATGCTAATAGTGAAAAAGGAGACAATGCCAACTACAGAGAGTGCAGTTGGAGTAAGGAGCCCTGTGGCCATGTTCTCTGGAGCTCTGAGCTGCCTCTGGCTGCTGATACATTAGTTTGCATGCAACGCATCGAAACCTACATTTTCAAATGTTGTTTTGGAGTGTATTAGCATCTAGCTGCCTGAATGGATAGGCAAGTCAGACTTGTCCCAAAGACTTTGGAGTGTATTAGCATCTAGCTGCCTGAACGGATAGGCAAGTCAGACTTGTCCCAAAGGATATCAGGAAGAGTTGGGAATGTGGAAAAATCGATGCGTCCTGCACATAGGTTATGTTATGAGGTGCAAATGAGAACAGAAGGGCCATTCTTGTTTGCCTGGCTCTTGAGCAGCTACAGAAAAAAGCCACGGGGGCCCTGATCACAAGGATGCCAGAGTCCTCTGACTAGGCCTCACTCCCTGGGCCAAACCATGGCATACCTGCTCTGCTGGGGCTGCTGTGGAAGCAGAACAGAGCAAAGGAAGCAAAATATTTGGCTGTCAGAAGCTCTTATTTGTCGGATTATTTTAAGGGGGGATTTTATGCTTGCTCCCGTGAGTCAAGTCTGCATCGAGGACAGCACTGAGCACTGTAGTTCAGCGGTAACCAAGTGGGAGCAAACGGAGCAGTAGAGGCGGTGAAACCACAATGTCATAATATTTAACAGAAACTTCCTGACGTGACTAATGCAGGAGATTCACGGGGCAAGTCTTAGTAAATATCAGCTGAATATATTTTAATGTAATTAATATTCTATCAGGTTATCCTAACAGGAGCCTGTTTAAAGAAACAAGGAAATATTCCAGTAGGCTAAGGAAGGTGTCGTATAATGAGGTATAATTGTTGTGGGATTTTCAGTCGTTAGAAGTGCAGCTCTGCCCCCACCAGTGGCTCTGGACTGGCTCAGTACGTGCTCCACGGGGGAGGATGCTGCCCAAACCCTCTGACAGTACGTTGTTGAACATTCCGCTCCATTTCTGTAATGCTAAAAATAGTTGTCCTCATTTTAAAACACTGGGCTATTAGATTATTCCAAGGGTCTGTCATACTCAGGGTAATGGAAGGCACGTATCCATAAATTATCAAAACAGTAAGTAGTGTTTGACCGTGCTGATTATGCTTCTATTAAGATGAGTTTTCCGTGCTAGTAACCCTGGAGTACCAAGTCTATTCTGTAAATAAAGTTTCTGAGAGTGCCCTAGTAAATTTAAAAATAAAAGGAAAAATGTTTTGTTTTCATATTGAGGATGGAGAAGCATCTGACTGCTTCTTGGTGGTTTTGGTTGGTTTTTCTTTAAATTTTGCAGAATCATATCTGCAAAATGCCTAAAGTATTTTACAGTAATTGTTTCCCTTTCCCAGCCTTGAAGAGAATCTCACGAGGTTCCAGCATGTTTGCCATTATAAATCATGTCAATGCCTAAAATGTTCCAAATAGCAAAATGCATTCCAAGTGATTGATACAAGTTTCTCTCAACTTTTTTTTTAGTGATTAGATAATGTGATGCCTAATTAATTTTTGGCACCATATTGTTTGGTAGTACAAGTAACCAGTGCACTTAATAAAGTTCACACACTTGTATGTTAAGATAGCATCTCCTTTATATTTATCTTTTTAATGTGAAAGTCTCTTATTTTTAGGGATAAATAACTATGTGGAAGTCAAGGTATAAAAAGTAATGTAAATGCATTCTAAGGAAGTTGCTATGTTCACAGATACAAAGTATCTTTCTCTGTTTTGAAAACCTTTAGGTACAAATCTCTAATTTTATAGGGTGTTGCAATGCAGTTACACGCTGCAAAATCAATGAATTGTAAATACATTATATTTACATATAATATTATTTAAATATATATACATATATACAGCCATTTAACTACATGATTATAAATACACTGCATATTTCCAAAATAGTTAAAGCAAACACTATATTAATCATTTTAGATTTAATAAGAACCAATATTGATGTAGGAGGTTATTTTTGCATTGCTGTGTTGAAGGGATAATCATTTGTAGCACACTGATTAAACAGTGCAAGGCAAAACATTTATGGCTTGTCTCCACAAAAGAAACCTGTGAATGTGGGATATTTTTTCTAGCATATAGGGATTCAGTATAGCAGGGAAGATGAAACATTATTATCTGGTAACAGTTAGACTATGAAGAATTTTTCTGAATTCACATTGTAAATCTGGAGAAAATGAATGACTAAGGGTTACTTGTAATGATTAATTAGAATTTTTCCCCAGCACGCTAACATCTATTTTTAGAGAGGGATGCTAGAAGATGTTGAAAAGTGTACCATGAGTAGAGCTAGAAATATACCATTTTAACAAGATATTTTAAGCTGTATTTTAATTGTTGGATATCATGAGTGCTTTGTATTTATTTGCTTAATTACTCATATCATTTTAATGAGTAATTGTTCTTTTATTGGCCATTCTGTTGTTGTTGAGAGACTCAATTCTTTCGTTTGTCTCTGTTCTTTTTTTGTGGCTATGAGACATTTGTCTTCTGCTTGGCTTGGAATCAAATGAGTGAACTTTCAAAACTTTCTTTTGTTGCTGTATTCTGGCTTGGCTAGAAGGCTGAATTGGATGGTGTGCGGGTTACTATGGCAAACTTCTGTCAAGGAATTAACACCCATGAATGGATCAGATTCCTTTAATAAGTCTCCTAAGCTCTCACTCAAGGTCAATATGAGCACGGATGCATTCTTCTAGTAGAATTTAGCTCAGTAACTTTAGATTTATTGTGACTAAACTTAATGTACTTCATGGTGATGTGTTTCATGAACCTGTAAATGGAGGGTGGTTCTTAGCATTGAGTGGCAGAGCCTGGTTCTCACTCGGTCTGTAACTGTTCAACACACTTAGCTGCTAAGTAGGAATGGAAAAGCAAACCGCTGCAATATTTCATATTTTAATTCTAAATGATATATTACTAGGTTTTTAGCTATACCTTTTCCTTGGAAAGCCCTATATTAAATGCAGAATTGAATTGTCTGTAGCTTTCAACTCAGAGCTATTGATTTACTGTTTTTATTTTACCATGTTACTCAGCTTGGATAGTAACCTTTTTAAAAAACTTTTGATTAACAAGGTGCTTGTTTGTACTTATGCTCAGTTGCTGAGCGTAACTTTTAAGCATCTGGTTTCTTGAGTGGAATTTGCAAGCCCAAATCAGATTCTTAATTTTCATGGGCATTGCAAGGAGAAAGGAATTTGAGAGGCAGGGGTGAGTAACAGTCAACTGTACAGATGACTTTTTTTGCTTTTTTAAAACATGGGGCAGAGGCGGCAATAATTTAACAGCATAACAGAGAACATTCACTTAGGAAATAGGAGAAACAGATCGAAAGGAATTTGAGAGGCAGGGGTGAGTAACAGTCAACTGTACAGATGACTTTTTTTGCTTTTTTAAAACATGGGGCAGAGGCGGCAATAATTTAACAGCATAACAGGGAACATTCACTTAGGAAGTAGGAGAAACAGTTTTGTCTGCCTGATTGATCAAGATTTGCACTTCTTCCTGCTGAGTAGGCTGTGCACTCTCCTGGAGATGGGGGAAAGATCTAGAATTCTCCTTTGAGCCGAGCCTAGAAGCCAGCAATCGGCTTCATATGTACAACTGCCTGGGGGACCTAGTGTTTTAAGTGTGGGACCCTGTGGGCTCAAGAACCCAATAGGTGTTAGGGAGAGTGTGCAAGCTGGGGCACCCTTCTTGGGATTTTAGGTACGTGGGTAATATGAAAGTGTCTTCTGAAGTATTTTTTTCTGAATCAGGGCATGAAACAAAACTTAAGAACTATTTTCATGTGATCCAAATACTCTAATCTTTTTTGTTGTCCGGTTGTCTGATCTACAGCAATATTTAGACATTGCTCATTCTAAGTTTTTGAAAGTAATTTAGAAAACACCATATGCTTTATTTTGGAAATTTTCCAGTCTTTTCATCTTTACACCTGTGAAAGTCATGTGCTTGTACTGAGGCAATGAGACTGAATTCTAGAGACTGGCAAAGACGTGCAAACCGTATCCTGCTAGATGATTTGAGGGAGAAAGAGAATGTTTAGGGGGGTGTTTATTAGGTAGTTTTTGTGCTACAAGTTTATAATTTTGGCTACATGTCTGCTGTATGTCTCACAAAACATCATAAGTATACATTAATAAAGATATAAAACAGGTGTTATTCTTGTTACAACAGAAGAATAGCAAACTGCAGTGAGTGGATTTAGCATCAATAAATAGCTCAGAATTTTTAAAGCCAAGAAGATCCCTAAGGCTGAATGTAAAAATGGCTACTGTTAATTGACAAAGCTGTGGAAAGCTGTGTCATTTTTTTGTAGAGATTTCACACTATTTTGAGTAAGAGTTCAGTATCAAAATAATTTATTCTATTCTAATCTCATAATAAAAATCCAGTGTAATAGAACTAATTTAAAGAATGCAATTATTTGAAGAATGTTTATGTTTGAGATTTTTATTTTATTGTTTTGTGTTCCAGGGTGAACATGGCTTTGTGGGTAGTAAAGGTGAAGAAGGTGAAAAGGTAAACTGTTCTGTCCATGTTATTTATTTTTTTGGTTTAACAGCTTGATATATGGCCAACCAAATAGAGCTTTTTTTCTGAAGGTCATGAATAAAATACTTTTTTTTTTCCCCACGTAAATGATTCTTGAAATACTTAAGAATAAGAAGATTCTTATGTGTGTTAATCAGTGTCAACAGTGGTTCATTAGAAACAACTTTTTTTTTTTTTAAGAAAAGATTTAATATTGAAGTCTAACAGAACCGTAACCACTGGACTTCAGCAGTGTTTACTGCTATCTTATTTCTATGGTATTTATACAGTATGGAGTGTACGCTAAGATGACATGTAGGTGTTTATAGTACTGAAATCTTGCTTTTATGCACTACAAATTCACTTTTATAGAAACTTATTGAGTTGATCATAACTACTAAATGTTTTACACACTTTTTTTCCAAGTACGTACATTTACTGCAGTAGCAAAATTTAACATTTGCTACATCATAACTAAGTGCTAATTAAAAAAGCTTAATTTTCATATATATACTTCTGTGTACCTAGACAGCAGTTGATATGAGTATTGTCTCCTGCACACATCTGACTCAGAGCAAGTTGGCTTGACTGCCAGTGGCCAAGCTTAGTGAAGGTACATTTAGCTCTTCCTCAGCCTGGAAGTTCAGTCTCTTTGCCTGATGGACTGGCACATTGCCCTAAGGATTTTCTTAGTCTCCCAACAGCCATAAAACATTTTGAAGTGTAAATTCCAGGAGAAGCCTTTCCTTGTTCTTCACTGGTGGGTGTCAGAAATGGGGCTTGAAGCAGTTAGTCCTAATTGCAGGTGCTCTGTAGCAGCCAGAAAGAGTTCAAAAGCTTGTGCATGAAAATGGGATTTAATAAACTGGCTCTGTGAAAGGCTGTCTTGACTGACAGAATGCCAGCACCAGTCACTCTAGGTGTTGCAACCTAATCTTCTTGTGTGGCTTCAGACAGGTAGGTCTTCATAGGCCATCAAAGGCAAGTCTGTGTTGAGGGGCAAGAGGAAGGAAGAGCCTGTTCTTAGCTAATTCCTGATAGGAATTAAAGTTACAATGATGACAGTTTATGGTTGAAACTTCAGCTCCTAACCATGGTACTGCCTGTTTACTGCTTTTTCGCTAGTTTTGGCTGATTTGGATTAGGCAACCTGAATTAAGAGTCTTTACTTGGGTCGTAGATGGTTTCTCTGTGTTTCAGCTCACTGTCTGAAAAAGGTGTAGAAAAGCAGTTATGCTGAATTTATATATAATAAAGATGAAGAACGACAGATACTGCTGTTCTGGCAATATTCAGACTGAAGAAAATGGAGAGTAGGTGACAGCTTCTGAATTTTAAAGAGTGCAGTATATTTGCGAGTTAGGCTGCTTTGGACATGGGTATGTTTACTCACCCACCATACCACCACTTCTGAAAAGTGTCAGCCAGCTTTCCAGTGGTCACATTTTAAAGAAAGCATGCTGCAGATTAACAGCATTTAAGCAGATTTAAAATTGTGGAGGATTTTATGAAGAATTCCACTAACCACGAAGAAAGAAGTGTCAGAAGTAAAATACAGTATCCATAGCAACTAACATTTATAATGTGAAGATTCAGCCTCTAAAAAAAAGTACTTGTTAAGCTTGAGTGTTTCTATCTCCACCAACAGATCTTATTCCCTTGGTGGGATTGTTATTCTGTTATAGTTCTGAAGGGCTTGTGAATTTTTTTATTTATTTATTTTCCCCCTGTCATAATTGCTTTGCAGCTGTGCTATGCTTTTCTCGAGTTTTATGAATAAATTGTGTTTGGACACAGGCATGTAGTTCCAGCTGTTGCTGACACTCTCTTTGCTTGATTTCCCTTATTTTGAGGCAGTAATAAAATGACCCAACCACTGATAGTCGCATTTTTCTTATGTGAAAGCTGAGTCAGCACATTCTTTTGTAACTTTTTTCTTGTGATTTCAGAAGTTAATTAAAAGATCCCAATTAAAAGATTTTTCACTGTAACTATTAACAATGTATTCAGCTGTCCTTCAAATGGAAGGAAATATATGAGCGAAAGGATCTTACCAGTGACCACTCAAAAATAATCTGGAACAGTCTCATCAGAAGCTACACATCATGATTTGTGAGGAAATAATGTGTTTTAGGATTATGGGAGATAGGTCTCAGCCTGAACTTTAACAGTTAACTCAATCTAGCCTTAATTCAAATACTTATTGAAGAACAGCAATGCTGAGTTTCCAGTTACTGAACTCCAGCATTAAAAACGTATCAACACCTTTGCATTTTAACATAGTGTCATAAAAAAAAAACAAAACACAAAACCACTTTTACCTATTTGTGCACAACGAACATGATTAAAAAGCCTGGAACTTAAAATCTGATTTTTTTTTTTCTCATAGAAAAAACTCTGCCTCATCTTGCATATTAAAGAATAAGGTAGTGTTTGTGCATTCAGTTTTGCATATCACCTAGTGTGGGACATAGCTGCCTGAACATGGTGTATTTGCCATTCCAAACTTTTTCCAGAAGTACATTAAAAATGAACAATCCTATATTTTTGTTTTGATGACCAAATCATTCCATAGGATTGAATACCTGAAATGAACTCGGCCTTATACCTCACCAAATCAAACCAGTTGACTTTGGCTTCTATTGTGCTTTGTTCTGCTTTGGCAGAAGAAGCTCTAGGGGGGACGTAGGAAACTGAGGTGGAAGTGGGTGAGTAAAGATACAGGTGGCATCTGTAATTTAAACTATAGAGGGAGATTCTTCGAGGTTGTTTAAAGGTTTTGTTGCCACTCTTGGGTCTCCTTGAGGAATCCAGAAGTCTTTTTCTGCCTCCCTTCTTTTTTTTTTCAGTCTTGGTTGAAATTGATTCTCTCTCACAGAAGCCAGTAGTACTGACTGTGTGCAGGTGTTATGCTGCAAGATTTCCCTCCATGGGAAGTATACTCTCATTGTAAATTTGTTTTAATTACCCTTTGTATTCTATTTTCTTTGTGTTACTTACATAATTACATTGTCTCAATTACAGTAATTACAGCTGCAACAAAAACATTGTCTGCCCTTCTATAGCATGACTAAAAAAGTTTATGCTGAGAGCAATTTTAATTGGTTTGCTGGCAGACTATATCATGTGGATCCATCCTTGTTCTAACACTGTTCTGAATTGTCATTTTACAGTATGGGACAGAAAGTATGAGTATTACACTTTATGATAATAGGAAGTCAGGAGGGACTGATAATAACTAGAGAAAAGCTTTAAAATCCAGAATGTTCTTGGAAAATCAGAGATGTAGCCTGAAAAAAATGGGATCCAACAACAGAAGGCACAAGTGCAGGGAACTACCTGCAGGGGAGAATAAATCTGAGCTGCAAAAAACCAAATCAAATGGTATCGATCCAGAAATTAATATCTGAGGATTATTTGGATCAGAAGCTGAACACAGGTAATGAAGTCAGGCAGTTGCAAGTGACTCTTACTAAGATGGTTTAAAATGGAATATTGTCTGCAATGCTAATTAAATAGTCCTGTACTACTTGGTATTGATAAGGCTTCAACTGGAAGGATTTTGGAAGGAGAACACTGAGAATGGCTGGTGCTCAGGAATGCATAACCTTTGAGGAAGGATTTCATGAATGAAGATTACTCAGTGTTGTAGAGTCAGCTGAAAAGAAATATGTAAACAGTCTTCAGATACATAACACTGCTGGAAAGAGGAAGGGAATGGTGTATTTGCTCTGTCCGTAGTGCAATGGGCTGAAAGTGCAGCAAGGGAGATGCTTTGTAGCCACTAGGATAGAGTTTTTAACACTGTTGTTTATTGTAGAAGTAATTTCACCTTCCAGTGGTCTGCACTTTTTAGCCTGGTTACAGAAAAGGAAAAAAACTAAAGAAAGACTTGCTTCATGAACATACAGGTGATCGGATTATCTTAAATGATTGTACCATTTTCTGTTTCTGAGACAGAGTTCTAACAATCAGAGATCTGATCATGGTTTTTATACCCCTGGGAAATAATATAAATGCAAAATGGCAAAAAGGAATACATATGGAATAAGTTGATACAGCGGATTATGTAACGCACCCAGAACTTGAGCCATATAGAGATTGTAGTGCAGTGAAGTTATGTGTTCCTGCTGCGAGTGTGTCACAAGCCTCCTTGGAATAAAGGAATGAAAATAAAGGAATAAAAAAGGAGTGAAAGAATAAAAAGCACAGAACCCCCAGAGTAACAGATTTTAAAGCTAGGGAAAACTGTGGTAACAGAAGTGTCCACAAAATAGGCCTCCATTCTAGCAACAGAGCTGCTAGTTTTCTTAAAACATATGCTTAAAGTTGTGTCACAAAATTTGGTGCATAATTTAATGACTATCAGTTTAAATGAAGAAAAACAGAATCTACCAAGCAGAAACAAAGGGCAGTGCCTGAGCTCAAGCACCAGTTGGTTTGACTTGCTTTATTGCAGCCGTTGGGAGGCGGGGGAGGAGATAAGTTATCTAGATGTACATTGTCACTAGCAATTTTTGAAAAATTCATTTCAGAAATCTCAATACTTAATTAAACTGTCTTATGTGTCTCTCAGGTAACCCTTGCCTCTCCAGCAGTCATCTTTTCTTTAATCTGTAGCTTCTAAATTTCCTGAGGCAAGATGATTAAGTGCTTCAGTTCAGATGAGTGGGCACGTACAAAGTTTTGAGCTTGGAAGCTATTATGAGCTTAACAAAAAAATAAAATCTAAGTTAGATTTTAGATCTTGAAACCTAAAGAGGTTGAATTCTTATTTATTATTATTTATTTTGATACCTGAAGTACATGCATAGCTTGGGAGTTGGAACTGGCCCAAAGCCGGTTAGGTAATTGGGCAGATAACGTCTAAGATCTCTTTTTCCTTTGTCAAATTGGTAACTAATTCTTTTATCTCCTGGGTCTTGCTTTCTTTAGTTACTCTAAGGTCACCCTTTACCCAGGCTTCCCATTTTTCTGTCATCTTGTCT